TCTGTGGAGTCTGTAGTTATTTCTCCTTTTTCATTTCTGATTTTATTTATTTGAGTCCTCTCTCTTTTTTCCTTGATGAGTCTGGTTAAGGGTCTGTCAATTTCGTTTATCTTTTCAAAGAACCAGTCCTTGGTTTCATTAATCTGTTATATTGTTTTTCTAAACCCTATTTCGTTTATTTCCACTCTGATCTTTATTATTTCCTTCCTTCTATTCACTTTGAGCTTTGTTTGCTGTTCTTTTTCTAGTTCTTTTAAATGTAAGATCACATTGTTTATTTGAGCTTTTTCTTGTTTCTTGAAGTAAGCCTGTATTGCTATGAATTTCCCTCTTAGGACTGCTTTTGCTGTGTCCCATAGATTTTGAGTCATTTGATTTCTTCCTTGATCCCCTATTCTGGGGGCTCTGGACATGATCTTTGTGTGGGTAGTATGTGATCTTCTATTGTTGCCAAGCCTTTATTGTTGTTAACACATCAGTGGATGGGATTAACGCTAAGGCTGACTGTGGGAATTGGCTGCACCCACAGGGTAAGAATGGCTGTGTAGGGGCTAATCCCACTGAGCGGATTTGCCCTAGCAGGCTTATGTGCTTGTTGCAACCACCCCTTATGTGTACCGCTAATGGAGCTAGTCAAGATTTGCTCCATTGTGGTCTAGTGCCAGCCTCCGGATGCATTGGTTTTGTGGCCCCTTGGGAGGGGCTCCCCAGTAGGCCAAGGTCAGCCACTGCTTTTGATTGCTCAGGGCTACCTGGTGGGAGCTACAAAGCGATCCATAGACGGTTGTTGCCTATGCTGGATCTATGGGTAAGTAGAAGAGGCAATGCTGTAGGCAGCAATCTGGTTATCCCTCGTCCCTGACCTAGGGCAGTTTAGCAGAGGGACCAGTGCTCCTCAGGGCCTGACACTGCCTGTCAGTTGCCCATAAGTCTCTGAAACTGGAAGAATCTCTGGGTGACATTCATGGTGGGTGGTGCAGGGACCCAGGGAGTCTTCTGGGTCTATTGAGTAAATTTCCCCCTGCCACTGCAGTGTCGGTTTATATGCCAGCGGTCTCTGTGGCTCCCTGCTGCCTACCTCTGGCCTGAATGCACCTCCCCAGGGCAGGGGCAGCTGCCTATCAACGTGCGGAGGGTGTTTTGTGTATTAGATGGCGCAAGAGCTCAGGGAGTCAAGGGCCGCCAGGCCAATAGCCTCGGTTTTCTGAAATTTCTGCATCTGCACGTTCCCACAGTAGTCACAGATCACTTGGAGACAAACTGCTGTCTGGGGCAGTCCCACAGATCCCTGTGATCCACCCAAGTTTGTGTTGGCAGCAGTAATCTGCCTGAAACTGTCTCTGAAATGCAGGCTCACAGAGTTGGCTGCCAGCTGTGAATGTTTGGCTCCTAATCAGTGCAGGGTGTGGTAGCCATCCAGCAAGAAAGCCCCAGGCAATCTGCAGGTTAGGTAGAGTGGGCTGATCTCCTCAAGCCAGCAAGCACTTTCTACTGGGCCATTTGGGAGGGGTCTGCCCAGACAAGCTGGTGCATAGGGGTGCCCGACTAAGGCACAGTGATGGCTGCCTGTTCAGACCTCGTTCTGGTGCCAGGAAATGCAGTATTTATCCATAAAAATCTTGCATGAGCCTCCGACCCACCACCGGTGTCCCAGGCGAGTGTCCGTAAGTCAGAGAGCCTGTGCATGAGCCCTTTAAAGAGGTGTCCAGAGATTTGTCTTCTTCTGTCTCACCCAGATAGCCAGAATCTCCTTTGTTTTTTTTTCGGTTGGAGTTATTGGAATCTCCTCTTCCCTGGGCTAGGACCCTGGGCTGGGGAGCCTCTGAATGAGGCCAGGACCCCCATCTCTTTCAGGGTAGCCTCTACACCCTCGCTCTCTCCTAGTAATCCTCTACCGCCCGCGGCTGCAGGTCCAGCCCGATTCGCAATTTTTCCCCTCGGTCTGGCTTTTATGTGGTCCTTTATGTTATCAGACGTATGTGTTTTGATCAGCTGGACTTCAGGTGATTCTCCACGTTGATTCTTGTATAATTTAGTTGTAATTTCAATGCAGACCTGGGAGAAGGCAAACCCTGCTTTTATCTAGTCCGCCATCTTTCAGCCATCCCATACATAGGTTTTTACATGAACATAAGTTTTCATTTCTCTGGAATAAGTGCCTGTGTGCAATTGCTGGGTTGTGCAGTTAGTGGATGTTTTATAAGAAATTGCCAAACAATTTTCCAGAGTGCCCGTACCATTTTACATTCCTACCAGCAATGCCTGAGAGGTCCAGTTTCTCTGCATCCTCTCCAACATTTGGTCTTAATGCTATTTTTTATTATAACTGTTGATCTATTTCTATCTAAAGATTGATTTAATTCAAACTTGGAAAATGTTAAGATCCTGTAAAGCCAGCTGTTGGGTACTCAGTAAAGTAACTTTAAAAATGTGCATAGGAGGTGGGAAAGTACGACAGATAAGACCGGCAGATGAATCTTTCAAGAGGTTGTCCTATGAAGAAAGGAACCTGACCAAATTGTAGCTACAGGAAGAGCTACAATTTATTCAATGGAGCAGATGTAATTATGTTTATATTCTGGAAAAAAAAATCTCAAGGGTAGTTAAGGATGGTACAAAAAAAAAAGAAAAGTGGCACAGTCTAAAAGATGCAGAAAGAGGTAGCATTAGGGTACCTCTTCTCCTGAGTGGGGCAAGCAGGAAGTAAGGATGGGTGCAGAGGATGATTTATTTTCTGGTTAGGGAGTTAATGTTGAGAGAGTTCCTGTAAATTTAGAGGTGTTGCCCCTGCCCCTCTCTCCCTTGCCCTGGGAAGTGAAGGGAAAAAGATGAGGTAAGCATCCAATCTCAGCTTTGAGGAATGGGAGAGACATCTGGGTGGAAACACACAAAAAGAATGTCCAATAGCATTTCCAGCCTCACTGGAACTGGAGCTCATCAATTTTTAGAGATAGCAGTTGACACATTCAGGCCACAAATATTTATTCTTAATAGCTGTTTATTTAATTTCAGCTTACTCAGTAGCTCACAATTCTATTGTCTCAGTTTTTTGTTTTGCTAAAAAATTTTTTTAATCTACTTTGTTGGTGCATAATCTACATACAGTGAAATGTATTTGTTTCAAATGTGTGGGTCAATGAGTTTTGATAAATGGGTGTACCTGTGTAACTGCCACCACATTCAAAATAAAGAACATTTCCACCACCTCTAAAGATTTCCTTATGTCCCTTTACAGTTTCCCTCACCTACCTCTAGCCCTAGGCAAACACTGATTTGCTTTCTGAAAGTATATATTAGTTTTGCCTTTTTTAGAATTGCATAAAAATTGAATCATATAGTTTGAACTTGTATCTGGCTTCTTTTGCTCAGTAAAATGTTTTTGAGATTCATCGATGAGTAATTTTCCTCTTTTTTTGGTCCTTTTTATTGATGAATGGTGTTCCATTATTATAGATATATTCCAAGTGTGTTTATCCATTCACCTCTTGATGAACATTTGGGTCGTTTCCAGGTTTTGGCTATTATAATTAAAGCTGATGTCAATATTGAGTTATAAAACTTTTGTAGGCAAATATTTTCATTTCTTTTAGCTAAATATCATTGTGTGAAATTATTGGAATTTTTTTTATTACTAGACTTTATGGTTTAGAACAGTTTTAGATTTATAAAATTGAGCAGATTGTACAGAGTTCTCACATCTGCTTTTCTCCACAATTTCTCCTATTATTAACATCTTATATTAATATGCTATATTTCTTAAAATTCATGAACCAGTATTGATACATTATTATTAGGTAAAGTCCGTAGTTTATTGAGATTTCTTTAGTTTTAACCTAATGTCCTTTTTCTGTTCCAGGAACTCATCCAGAATACCTTATTACATCTAGTTGTCATGTCTCCTAAGGCTTTTCTTGGCTGAGATAGTTTCTCATACTTTTCCTGTTTTTGGTGACTTTGACAATTTGAGGAGTATTGGTTAATTATACCGTAGTATTCCTCTCTATTGAAACTTGTCTTATGTTTTTCTTAATGATTAGAGAGGTGTTATGGGCTTGAGGGAGGAATATCACAGAGAAAGTTTACATTTTCATCACATCATATCAAGGATACATACTATCAACATGATTTATGAATGTTGATGTTCACCTAGTCACCTGGCTGGGGAAATGTTTGTTAGGTTTCTCTACTGTAAATCTACTCCCCGCACCCTCTCCTTCCACACTGTGTCATTTGGATATCTCTGTGTACAGCCACACTTAAGGAAGAGGGGGTTATGTTCCCCATTATCTGAGTTTTTATGTTCAAAAAATTATTCTGTTCCATATCCTTCCAGAATTTAGTGCCAGGAAAAGTTTGTCTTTCCTGGCATGCTTGTGTACTCTCCTTTATCAGAGAAGGAGAAAGAACTACACAGTCTAGTTTCGATGTTCTTTTACTACCTGGACTTTTAGTAAACTGAGAACCAAAGAGTGGGTTGATCGCAGAGGTCCAGGTTCTTGACAAGATTTTCTCTTTCATCATTTTTCCTGACTTTTTTTTTCTAATTCCCCCTTCCTCCGCTTCCACCCCTGACTCATGGATGTTGCTGTTTCCCCTTAAGAACTGGATCTCTGCAGGTGGGGCGTCCCCTCCCACACAATCGTGGCGTGCACCCGGGCCTGGTGCCTGGCACTCCCTAGGTGCACTCGGCGCACAGCAAGAGGTGGGGGGAAGGAGGGGCGGCGACACCAGGGGTATGGTCTGTGGCTCCGCCTGCGGTGCAAACCCAGGACCTTCTGTGTGCAAAGCAGACGTGCTAACCACTTCACTATGGAACCACTCCCCTGACTCTTTATTGTATTCGCCTCAAATTATAAATGTGCTAATTGTATTATAAATACCTCAAACTCTTTTTGGATTTAGGCAGATTAGAAATTACAAATCAAACATCATATGCTCATACTGGACTCCAGCCTTTACCTGGTCATCTTCCCTCAAGTTCACTCTTAGTGTTTCCCCAGGAAAGTGACAGACAAGGTGCTCCCTCGGGGCATTTCTCCAATCCAGATCAGAATGGGAGCCCTAGAGAACAGCAACCTGGGTGAGTGGGGCTGGCATATACTGGGGGTCGGGGTGAGCTAATAGACTTAGAAGGATTTTATTCCTTTTATTCCTTGACTGGGAATTTAGCCCCAGCCCCACTGCCAGGGCAGTATAGCATAGTGGTTAATAATATGGGCTGTAAAGTCAGACTTCTTGGTTTAAAATGTTATCTCTGCCAGTCACTATTCTTGATCACAGGTAAATTGCTTAAACAATTCAGGGCCTCGGTGTCTCCACTTGTAAATGGAGATAAGACTAGTACTTCATGGATTTTTGTAAAAGAGTAAATGAAATAATGCATGTAAAGCGCATAGAAGAGTGCCTGGCATTTTGTAATTTATAAATGTTAGCTCTGTTCTATTTTTCCCTTTCTTATAGCCCTGCTCCCACGACGCCCATGCCGTCCTGGGCTCCCGTCTGTAAAGCCCTCTGGCTTCTACCACCGAGACGTGTGGCACTCGCTGTCCTGCTCTAGCCGCTCCTTCTCTACTGTGGATAACATCCTGGGCTGCCTGGCTGGCCGCATTGTCCACATGATGGGAGACTCCACGCTTCGGCAGTGGTGGGAGTATCTGCTGCACACTGTGCCCTGTGAGTGGCGGTGAGGGGAGAGGGCAGGATACCTGGAGTCTCATGAAGGAAGAGGCGAACAGGGCGGTGCTTTGAGAGACAAGATTCCTTTGTTGGAGAGGTTGGGGCAGTACGTTGAGAATTTTCCAAGGGCAAGTGAGCAAAAGAATCAGAGCTCAGAGGATGTAATTATTACCACCAAGCTTCCTTTCCAATTTAGTTTATCAGAAGTTATGAGATGACAGCATTATAAAAAATCTTTCATATAATATAATTTCTGATAATACAAAAACATTCCCCCATTTAATTTCTAAATAAAATCCTGATTTAATCTTTAAGTTAAATTAACATGTGAAAGACAAAGTTCAAGCTTTTGTCCCCCACTCACCTCAATTTCTTTCTCCTCCCCTTTCCCCTCCCCCTGTCTCTTTGCCTTGCTGCTGTGTCCTGGTAGAGTTGTGGTTCTCTTAGCACCTAAAACCTGAGTGAGTTCTGCTGATTGTGTGTCATTTTCTCAGCCCTTCCAAAGTTAAATTAATCCAATCCCAAATCTTCCATGTGTACCATTTTTCTAAATAGTCAAGATTAATAGAAAACAAAATTATCACAGGACTTGTTAATAACCTCCCATTTAGAAAAGAAAAACACTTAGCATCTATAGTGATTACTTTAAATAAAATTATGTCCATGCAGCCAGTGCCTAGTACAAAGTTATTATAAGTCTTGAAGATACCTGAGGAGTAGGAAGGTAGAACAGGGAAGCTAGCTTGAATGCCTGTTGGAATGGGCTCACTCTGTGAACTTGACTATAAAATTAGCAATAGGCTAATTGTGGCACTCTCTTGCCATGTTTTTGAGGACAGTCCACATATTACCCCCAACCTCAGATGGATAGTGCAGATACATTCCCGTCTTCCTGCAAAGTTTAGAAATTTGCCATGTTGTCACTCTCAATTACTCGGCTTAATTTGAGGTTCCCCTTTACTTTAAACAGTTTATTGAGGTGTAACTGACAAATCATAAACAGCACATATTTAAAGTCTGCAATATGATAAATTATAACATATATGAACATCAGGAAAACAATCTCTACAAATAAGATAATTAACATATCTACCACCCAGAAAGCTTTTCTGGTGGCCCTTGCTAATCCCTTCCTTTTACCCATCTCCCTCCCCAGGCCACCACACATCAGCTATCTGTCTTTTTAGCTTAGTTTGCATTAGCTAAAACTTATATATAAATGGAGCCATGTGTATTCTTTTTCGTGTGTGGCTCCTTTCACTCAACATAATTATATTGAGATTCAACTATATTTCTAAATGTGGCAATAGTTCATTCCCTATTTATTGCTGTTTATACCATTGTTTGTTTATCCATTCATCTGTCAATGGACATGTGGGTTGTTTCCAATTTTTAGCTATAGAGTCACTACGAATATTTGTACATAAGTCTTTTTAGGGTATATGCTTTCATTTCTCTTGAGTAAATAAAATACCTTAAAGTAGAATGGCTAGATCATATGGTCGGTATTTGTTTAACTTTTTAAGAAACTGTCATACTGTTCTAACTAGCTATACCATTTTATATTCCTACCATCACTGGATAGGACTTCTAGTTGTTCTAAATTCTTTTAAATTTTAGCTATACTAATAGGTATATAATGTTTATAATGGCTCATTCAAGCAATTTTTGTAATGGCTGTTTAAAAAATCCTTATCGGATAATTCCAGCATCTGAGTAATCTTAGTGTTGGCACCTGATGATTGTCTTTTCTCATTCAAGTTTGCGATTGCCGTGGTTGTTGGTATGATGAATGATGTTCTCTTGTTTACTGAACATTTTGGGTATTATGTTGTGAGACTCTGGGTCTTATTTTACCTTTGTTCTTTTTAGCACACACTGTGTTTAGGTGTAGCATGAAGGTACAGGTGGTGTGTGTATATAGCTACCTTCCGGGCCCTGCTGATGCCACCCCAGTGAAAATAGAGCACCAACTACATGGCCTTGTTGCCACTGGGTGAATGTGCAAGTTCAGCTCCACACTACTTCATACTACTGACACTAAGGGCTGTCAAGCACAATGCCAACTAGCATTTCTTCACTTTTTCTGCCGTTTTGCCTCCAGGTTGGAGTGGAAGCTCGGATCCCTCCTGGAGTCAATTTTATTTTAATTGATGTATATGTTATTTTGAATTCTTATGTATTACAAAGAACCAATTAGATATCTTGCAAATGGAAATATTTATTTAAAAACACTCTATAGGTGGAATAAATAACAAAATGAATACCACTTTAAAGCAAATTAGTAAACTGAACAATTATTCCAGAATTCAGATTCTCTCCCTCATCATGGTAGTATTCTTTAGAATTCTCTTTTCTCTATTATAGTTGATCATTCCTTATATTAATTTTCCATGTTCAGACTAATGTGTGATTTCTTTCTTCTGATTGGACCCTGACCGATACACTAATAATTCCTAATGAATCCATTTTTGACATTTTTGCCATAATAAAAATAGCCTTAGAATTTCAGTGGCTCGACACAATAAAAATTTATTCTGAACTCACCCAAAGTCCAGTGTTTGGGAGCAGGCCTCCACACTGTTGTCCTCAAAGCTGTGACTCTGGAACCCACGTTTCTTTCATCTTATGTCTCCATTGTCCCCTAGGGCCTTCCAGAGGCCATTACTAGATCCTCTGCACCCAAGACACTAATGAGGTGAGAGAGAGAGAGAGAGACAGAGAGAGAGAGAGAGAGAGAGAGAAAAAGAATGGAGAATTGTATGGGATGTTTTATGTCCAGACATGGAAGCGGCGTACATCTTTACTGACCAAGATCAATGACCATAACCCAGTCATGATCCAAACAGGGGATTTGAAAAACATAATCTTCAGGAAAAGGAAATGGGGTGGTGAGCAACTAGCCTCCCCTTCTCATCTTACCAATGTATTTATATTAATTTTAACGAACTGTGTTTATGTTTTTATAATTATGTAAATATTTTTCTCTTTATAGTCAAAACTAATACCATGATTTAGTTTCTTTTGTGGTAATTTGTTTTTCCTCTCTCTCTCTCTTCCCCTTCCTTCCTTTTTTCCTTTCTTGTTTTTTATCAATAAATATTTATTGAGCACCTATGACATCCAGGTACTGTTCTAGGTTTTAGGAACATAGCAGTAAACAACAACAAAAATATCAATATTCCTCTTTTACTATGCATAAACTCTAGCGGAAACACTCAAAAACGAACAACACAACAAATATAGATACAATCCCAGATAATAAAAAGTTCTGTGAGAAAAAAAAAATACTGTTTAAGTAGAAGATGGTGAGGAAGAGGAAGATAGATTAAATGGTCAGGGAAGGTGCTGTTGAACCAAGTCCAGAATGGTAAAAAGGAGCTAAATCTGTGATGATCTTGTCATAATCTCTGGTTCATTCAACTCTCTGCCTCTTTTTCAGCTATTCCTGTGCAGCTGAACTTACCTGGAGAAAAATATTCCACCATAACTGTTCTCATTGAAATGCATGACCACTAACCTCTAGGGGGCACTATAGTTGTATAAAAGCACAGTGATTTTCAAAATGCGGCCCCCAGACTAGCTGCATCAGCATCACCTGGGAGCTTGTTAGAAATGCAACTTCTCAGGCCCCATCCCAGAACTACTGAATCAGAAATTCTGGGGAGGTGCTCAGTCTGTGTTTCAACAAGCCTCCAGGTGATTCTGACGGGCACTGAAATTTGAGAGCCACTGCCCTAGGACCACTAAACCACTGTCCTTGCTGATGGCTTCACAGCTTCTCCTTTCTTGAAACCTTCTTCATCTCAAACTCAGCTGTTGACCTTACCTATTTTCTTGAACAAAACAAAGCAATCAGAAGTGAAATTCCAGACTGTCACCACCACATTTCCTCTCCTACCAACATCTGTGTTCTCTGTATTCTCACCTGTTTTTGAAAATGAACTTTCCGTACTCCTACCTATGACTGATCCTTCCACTTCTGCTCTAGGTCTCATGCCCTTTTGCCTATTCAAGGACATCTCTCTACCAATTTTCCCCTCCCTCCTAAAGAATCTTCCCTCTCAACAGCATGATTTCCATCGCATTCCCATCAGCATATACACACGTTACTTCTTACTTTCATATTCTTAAGTATTTGAATCAATTACACACATCGTGACATTCTACTGTCAAATATTCCAGCATAAATCTTTTAAAAACGGGATACTTTATACATAACTCAAATAAGATTATCACGACTAACAAAATGAATAATAATTCTGTAAGTCTAATATCTAGTTCATAATCAAATGTCCTCCATTGCCCTTCAAAAGTCTATACAATTATTTTTTCAAAGCAAAGATCCATTCCAGGACCTGGTTGTTTTGTCTTTGAGCTTTAAATCCAGATTAATCATTTCTTTTCTTCACCCTTCTGTATGAAAAAGTCAAGGCCCATTGTCCTGTCAAATGTTTCGCCTTCTGGATATTTCTGATTGCTTCCTTATGGTGACAATACAGTTTGTCCCCTATTTCTCGCATTTCCAATAAACTGGAATTGAGAGTTCAAGGCTAGATTGAACTCAAGCATTTGCATAAATGTTGCAAATTCTCTTTGCAGCATATCAGGGGATGCATAGGATCTGATTATTTACAGTCAGTGATGATAGAGTGACCATTGGATAAAAGGAAAAAGACTGATTCCTCCGCAGTAGTTAGTTTTTCCCTTGGGGCCAGAAAGGAATCTAGCGGTGTTATTTTAGCATTGTATGAATTCCAGAAATCTTTGTTAACCATTTTTCTAATGATTTTAACACAACTGATAATTATTGCCTATTATCCATCATTTTATGTGTTATAAAAGGGTGGTTTTCTAACTCTATTGTTCTTTCTACACGTATTGGGTAGCCTTCTTTTGTAAAAATAATGCTTTCTCTCATTAACTGGAGCTAATAATAGGCGAATTTGAAAGAAAGCTTCTCCTGGAAAGGCAAGAAAACGTTAAACTATTTTTAT